CTCCTCAATACCCACCACCAGGCTAACCCATCCTCCCACCCCCCTCCCCTCTAGAACCCTGTTTGTTTTTCAGAGTCCATCGTCTCTCATGGTTTAAGAGGACAATTCTATGAAGAGGCAGTTCCAGCTTTGCATTGCTCATGATTGTATTTGAAATGTTCATGAGCTCTGCAATGATTTTTCTATTTGTAGTAACAGAAAATTCTTCTGTCTACCCTTCAGATTTTTGGAATGCTTAGAAGTGTGGATATGCTGCTATAGAGTTTAAGGAATTTTAATTCCTTTTAAAATTAAAGCACATCTTTAAGGCCTTAATACTCCTGGATCTCATCTGGTCTAAGTTTTACAAACGATTAACCATTTAGAGAGGAGAATTAGGTGTGCTATATAAATAAATGAAAATAAAAGCCAAAATGGTCACTTAGAACAAATGATAAATATGGTAGCTTCTGAAAGGCAGTAGGAGTTTAGCTAGGTTTGTGGTTAATAGTAAACTTGACATTTTTGGTATGAAAATTCAAGCGTACTAATGTAGTATGTTTTTTCAAGAATAAAAGGATGTAAAACTCAGAGGGATATGAAGATAATAAGGGTGTATAAACAGTCTCTGAAAGAAAAAAAGAACATGTAAATTGTTCATTATAACAGGAAAATGCAGGAAATTGTGGTTTGTTTTTGTTTTGTTTTTTTTCATAAAGCACTGGCATTGTTAGGTAATTCAGCCAAATAGAGAAGCATTCCTATTGATCCATCTGTGAAATTCCCAGTATTTATCTACTCAACATTGAGAAGACCATGAATCCTAATATGTTTATGAATACAGTATATAAACAGTTTTATAATTATTCATATTTCATTTATGCAAGGAAAAAGACATATTTCCTTTAAACTGTTTAATCATAATGTAGGGATTACTCAGAGTTTGATTTTAAGATTCCTGTGAAACTTAGCCCTTTGGTTTTTTGATTGGTTTAGTTTGGTTTGTTTTTTTGTTTTTGAGTTCTGTTTTTAAGTCACTATTTTTAATTAGAAATCTCATTTTACCAGTCAGGCATATAATTGCTTATAACAAATAAATTGAGCTTGTTTGTAAGTTATGCATAGCCCTGGCTCCTTTTCTCAAAGAGTTGATATTTTTTAGGTAGGAAAAAAAAATAGCATTGTCAGGTGCAGCATTAAATAAATATTCCACACAAAGAATGTGAAGATCTCAATAAATAATTGCTGACAGTAAAACTCAGGATAAAAAAATGGCCACTGTCAAAATTCAGCAAACAGTGTGAGGGTAGTTTGGGTGACCCATAAGTTCACATTTATTTGATTTGTTTGTTGTTTGTTGTTGGTATCCTTGATACCCAAACCAGACAAAGACAGTACAAATAAAACTAGAGACTGGCATTGTTAGTATTAGAGATGTGCTTGCTTCTGGAGAGTCCTTCTCATGAGTTTAGGTGTAAAAATCTTCAAAATGAGCAAATTGAAGCCAACAACGTTATAAAAAGAATTATACACCGTAACCAGTGGGGTTTAATTTCAAGTATACAAAGCTGGTTCATTCAAACTCAATTAACATAATCCACTATATTCACAGGCTAAAGAAAAATTAATATGATCATATCAATTGATGAGATAAAGTATCTGACAAAAATCTAACATCCATTCATGATCAATAATAGATCTGGAATAGAGAGAAACTACCTAACTTGATAAAGAGCATTTACAAAAAACTAAACATAAACTAGTAAAAGACTGAATGCTTTCCTCCTGAGATTGAGAACGAACCAAGGCTGTCTTGTTTTAACCCTGTCTTTTAGAAGTTTTCTGTATTCTGATGCTTTGACCAGTGGAGACTTGCTGGCCCTTGAGAAACTGCCCCTCCCAGGGCTAGCCAATTCTTGGGGATAGTAAATAACTTGCAGGCAAGCATGCCTTTCAAATGCAAACCTACCAATCCAGAGTCCATACCCCCCAACCTCCTTTATTGGGCTTTCACACTCAGGGCTCTATCCCCCCTACCCTAATCACTCTAGGGCCAGGGACCCAACTAGGAATAGCCCTATACTCTAGAGCCTACTGAAATTCAAACCTGCAAATGCTAAACCTGCTTACCCTGCCTCACTCATTCCTCCCATAAAGAAACCACAAATAAAGCTCTTGCCCACATTTCCCCTGCTTTCTCTGCCTCCTGACTAACCCCAGTGTTCCTCTTTGTGGCCCCTTTCTGTGATGTGCTGTGCTATCCTTCCTCTTTCTAAGGAATAAGAGTACAAAAACTTCCATCATGGCAGTCATTTCCATGTGTGCTTGTCTTACCATATCTGTATAAACAAATCCCAGGTACCCTTCAAACAATGTCCACTCACTCTCACTACTCTTATTCAACACAATACTGGAAGTTCCAGCCACTGCAAGAAAGGAATAAAAATAAACATACAGATTGGAAAGAAAGAAGTAAAACTGTTCGTATCTGCAGATGATATGATTGCTGATGTAGAAAATCCCAAGGAACCTACAAAAACAAAAACAGAAAAAGCCTCAAACTAATAAATGAGTTCAGCAAGATCACAGGATACAATGTCTTGCAAACAAGAATTAATCACATTTCTATATACTGTACTAACAATGAACATGTGGAAACTGAAATTAAAAACACAATTGTTGCAAAGAAAAGAAAGTACTTAGGTAAAAACTTACCAAAACATGTAAAGAATTTGTATGCTTGAAAATTACAAAAAGCCGGTGAAAGAAACCAAGGAAGACAAGTAAATGGAGAGACATTCTCTGATCAGAGATTAGAAGACTCAACATAGTAAAGATGTCAATTTTTCCCCAAACTGATGTATAGATTAATGTAAATTTCTTTTCCTTTTTACTGAAGTACAGTTGACACATAATATTCGTTTCCGGGGTAAAACATAGTGATTTGACAAGTTTATATGTCATGCTGTGCTCACCACAAGCGTAGCTACCATCTGTCACCATACAACGCTATTATAATACGGCTGACTGTATTCACTATGCTGTGTGCCTTTTACTCCCGC